AACTGCCCAGATTTCATCTTTTTTAATCCAGCTCTTGATGAAATAAGCCAGCATTTCATCATATTTAACACCAAATGCTTCTTTCTTAATTCCCTGAGTTTTGCAAGCAATCAAATGAAGATGACTTAAAAAAAACTTCAATAGTCTTCTCGTTTAGAATTAACGTTAACTCCAAAGCACCTAACGACTTTGAGCTTCGCAGGATAGCGCAGGTACACACCAATACACACCCCCACATACATATGCATTGTTGTAGATTCATTTCTATTCATTTTTTTTAAAAAACAGGCAACGAAAACTGAGAGTTTAAAGGGCAACACAGCCCTTTATCTCCCTATGCAGAGATCCATATCTTTGGATATTTCCCCTTAAGACATATAAAATCCCAAACCACTATAGACCTCAAAATATTGGTTTTAGTGTATTCTAAAGCAAGAGCACTCAAGCTGAAATGTTTCAGGGGTGATACTGAATGTCACAAAACTATAATGAAGATTAGTCACATAGCACACCATCCACTAAAGAAATGGAAGGAAAAGAATGCCATTTGTGACCTTGGGTATCAAAGAAATTGCAGAACATATGAATGTCACTTGCCACGAGAACAGACAAAAATTTCACCACACTGTACAAAACTGATTTATGCATTCTTTTCGTCATGCCATCAGCAATGTATATCACGTGTAACATAACACACAGGGTACATATCTTCCCACGTGTACTGAAGAAGACTTGAATCTTTTCATGGTCTTTTAAAAATTATATCTATAGAACACTGAGTATTAGAGACCTGGATAAAAATAGTCAATATCTTTGCACCAGTGTTTTCATATTAGCTGTCATTTACGGTCCCAAATTTTAGATTTGCTTTCCTAAGAGATAAATACATTTGCTTTCCTAAAATGCTCTAAGCATCACCCTTGATCCATCTGGGACAGGTTTATCAGTGGCTATTTCTGGATTTTCCTATTTTTTTCACAAAACAGGGTGCTCTGCCACCTTAGATACAATTTTGCCATTATAACACATGAACATTACAACAGACGAAAAAATATGAAAAAATAAAATTTATTAAATAATAATTTCTAAGTTGGTTTTTAAAAATAATTCTTAGGGAATGGCTTGTACCTATTCCCTTCATATTCTCCATCCAAGAATTTTGAAAGGGAGGGCAGGAAATGACCATAGCTACATCCTGACCACTTGCCCTCCAAAGTCCATGACTGTAGCAATCAATTCCAAGGACAATGGTATTTCTCCCCTTTGATCATTTCTTTGTCAAGCTGACTGGCCTTCGATGGTGAGTGTATTACTGGTTGTCTACCACCAGCCGCTCGCAATTTGCTCACTATGTTTCATGAGACAGTTGTTTGTGGCTGTTTGGAACACATTTGTCTCTTTGGGGATTTATGCGCTAGTTGCAATCCCAACCTCTGTAGTGATCGAAATTTCTTTCTAACTAAAATAGATAATTAGAGGCTGGTAATTATTGGTCAAGAATTATCAGAGTGAAAAAATTAAGCTTCTCATAAATAGTTCTTGGCAATGTCATCTCTTTATATTATCACATGCCTAACAGCCCTCTATTCAGAGCACTTACAAATTTACTCTACTGCTGTTGAGCCTCGTAATTTTATATGAGGCAATCCCTTTGCTGGGTTAAACCCATTTAAATTCTCTGGTTTCATCTCTATCTGTGCTAATCCATACCAAATAATAATAATAACAGAAACTTCAAAGAGGAAAATAACAATAAATATTTACTATACTGATAGAAAGAGCCAGGTGAATAATGAATTAAAGGACATAATACACAATAGCTTCTTTCTGTATTCTCAGGTCAAAAGCCAATGTAAACTATGTGAAAGGAACAAAGGAAGACAAGAAAAATTTTCTCATCTGTGCAGGCTTTAAAAGAGGGAAATCTTTTCCCCAGGAAAGCTGTTAAAATGGTTTGTAGCTCTTTTTGTGTGTATGTGTAAAGAAGAAAAGAAACCCCTAAATAGTCACTGGTCTGATTTCTTACTGAAATTGTGTCAAAACGTGGTGGAGAGTGAGGTTGTCTTTTTTTCCTTAACAGACGTTAAGTCAAATCCCTAATGCATTTTTATTGAGTAATTATTCCTGCAACTCAGACCATGTGTCCACACCTAGCTGCAAAACGGCACTTAAGCAGAGTGTCTCCAATAGGTATCTGGTAGAAACATTGATGGTTTTCCTCTCGCAAATGTCCCTGGCCAATAGCCTAAGACCAGCACATCCAGAAAGAAGCGTGGAGGTTCTCTGACATTGAAATTGCATTAAAACACGTGTGCTACATAGCAGCAAATGCAAATGCCTTGGTTAAAGAAGGAATTTAAAGTTACACCTCATTGGGTCATCTGCAGGCCTTGTTTTCCATCAGGTGACATACTCCTTCCCCTAGACTGATTGAAATGTAAAACAAAATCTGTAAAACACTATATTCCCTCTTAACAAAAAGAGTAAGAGGCTTTTCAGATAGCCTCTAATCCCTATGCCCTGCTAAATGTCTGGTTGAGATTATTTTTTGATTAGACAAAAAACATACACAGATACACGACCTAAAAATACCTACCCTCAATGGAGGTATTTTAGCCAACAAAATAACGCTGCCTGCCTCATTTGAAAGACTAAGTATCACAGTGGGATTTTAAAAAAGGATGTCTTTGCCTTGGTGACATCCTCTCGTTACGCATTCTCTCTCTCTAGATATTAACAACACGAATGGAGTTTAAGGACTTAGATGCATGGTCAGCAGATATAACAATTAAATGGATGCTATTCATTTGTTTAAGCCTCAAGTGCAAAAGAACTACATGTTTTATTATTAAAAATAGCATGAATATTAAATAACTAGGCCCTCTGTGAAAAGGAATAGAATTTGCTTCTCCGATGGAAGGTGAATTGTTAAACGCTCAGATCCCAAGAGGAGGTGAGTGTCATATTAATCCACCATGAGGTGGAGGTGGGGAAAGCCATATAGGAGAAACACAAATGGAAAGGTACAAAGTAATTTAAAAAGAAGGACCAGAAAAAAACCAATGAATGTTATGGACAATGATACTAAAATTGCAAAGTCAAAAAGTCCTCTCATGCTTAACATTCAATTCAGAATCTAAATATGCACAAGAACATTAATATTGTAGTGAAAAATATATTCAATCTGTTCATCTGGGTCCTGGGATAAATAATAAATCCAGAAGCAAAAATAAATTGACATAGACTAAAACTATGCAAAGTTCTAAAATCCACAAAGTTTCACTAAATTTTCCATAAGCTGCAAAATTCCAAGGAATTGTTTTCATTGAAATCCATGTAAAACTGCAGCATGAAGCAGAACCATGAATGACTGCCACCAATAAACTCTACTCAAGAGATGGAAAATACTGACATTTATCATTTAGCAAGAAGAACTCATTTTTTCTAACCCATGCCCCTTCCCCCAAAAAACAGTTTTGAAAGTTTATATACAGTATTCTTCTGGAATCCAAAACAGAAGGGAATTGTATTGTTTACATTCCTCTTACATGTTGCCATTATCTTCCAAACACGCAAGAAAGTTGTCAATGTTATTCCGTCACATTTAAGAATATGCTATTTAATGTCTAAGAAAATTCACTAATAATATTAGTACTTATATCTGTAAAATATAGAGATAAAGTGATCAATATTTCAGCTGTTATGTATATGTTCTAGTTCGCACAATTAAGCACTTAGTCTTTTATAAGCAATAATCCTCCTAAAGACCCATCATTTGAAAACTATAAAGCAAATCCTATTGAAAAGCTATTAATCAATTTTCCAACATGCTTTTGAATTTATCTTCATTAACATCTACAAGAGCATTAGAAGTTCTGTTATGGTGGGTTTTAATGATCACATGATAGTTGGAGCAACCTTTCCACTGAACCTTCTTAGAATGCTGCCGATTAGTGTATAATAAAACTTCTTTATCCTTGAAAGTAAGTTCAGAATCTAAAACATTGAGTTTTCTTTCCTGTCTTAGAGTTTGATAATAGGAGAGCATGAGCTTAATTAGACTCTTTTACATTATATCACAATTATTTATGGTACTGAATAATACCATAAAAGGAGTATGAAATAAAAAACTCTCATAGTAGAAAAACACAAATGAGTAACCAAAATAGTATAAAGTAATAGCAATTGTTTTACTAGTAGAAAAGATCTGCTTGATAAAGTTTAATTGGCTGGTGAAACTCTTAGTGTTATTACTAAGTGCTTATCAAATTAAAAAACATAGGAGGTAACCCCAGAGGAATTAAGGGATAATAGGACAACATGAATAAGTGAAAAAATTATCCTTTAGCTCTAGCCCTTGTGACACATGCAAAAATCCCTGAAAACATTGGCCTAGAGTGACTTTACCCAAACCGCTTTTATAAAGATCTACGTAAAATTTGGTGGGGAATAAAAAATGATTACTGAATTCTTTACGTGATCTTTATGATCATGATTATTTCCAGGCTGTTGAAACCATACATATAAAACTATTTTACGGCAATTTAAATTATTTATGTTTCCCTATCACAAAAACTCACCACTTTAGATTTTGATACAAAGATGCTTAAGCAACACACAGCAGTGCCATTACCATAATAACTTCTGAAATTAAAACCTGTCTAAAACTCTATGGAAAGCTAACATCCAGTTCATTAACCATTCCTGTTAGTTTTCAATAATGCAAAAATGATTAGAAGTTTAATTTGTTAATCACCTGTGTTTAGACTGGCAGTAGATATATAATCCTCTGCAGAAGTCTAAACTAGCCCTTGCAGAAAATAAAATGTGCTAATGCCTTATCAGGCCTAATAATAGTAATAAAAAAAATCAATCATGCCTAGGTAAACCATTAATGGTTGAACAATTAATTCATCTTTAACTCTGTTTAATTACATAGGCATTGACGTACACAAGCAGGAGAAAAATCTATCTGTAATAAGGTTTAGAGTGTCACTCACCAATCATGTGATTTGCAACATGAACCTGAATATCCCATTCATTGTAGAAAACCATCTGACACTTGATGCACTGATAGGTCTTCTTCTGAGAAAACAAGTATAAACAGAATTACTTAGACACACGCACTTTTTATTGTTTTCTTTAAAAAACCCCAACCCTACTCACAGCATTTTTTTGAGATGCTGGTCTTACATATGTTGCTAACTAAGCTGCTGTGGGCTGCCTGGGCAAGGTTCCACAGGAGTTCCTTACTAAGACCTCGTGGTTTGATCCACGCTATACATTTAGTTACAGTTAGAAAAAATGAAGGCCCACAATTATGGCATATTATGTTTTTAAAGGTCCCTGAACTCAAAACAGAAATTAGTATTTACAAAAAATCTGTAACACACGGCTGAGTTTCAGAAACTGATGTCTTTGAAGATCAGGCACATTTTCGTTTTGGCCAAAATAACTGTGGTGTTGCTTCTAGACATCCCTAAGCAAAATGACCAGTAAGTTAAGACTCATGGAATCTAGCTAAGAGATTTAGAGTCTATAATTTTTAGCTGATGTCTGAAATTTAGATGATGTTTCAGAAGTTGCTAGATACTAGCATTTAAATACAAATTTTCACCTATAAAGAAATCACATTACAATGAACATCTAACACCATTTTATCACTTTATACAACAGTCCTGTGAAGCGGATAGAGCAGGATTTATTATAATTTTTGTATCATAAATAAAGAAAGTGAGACCCAGGCAAGTAAAAAGACTTGCCTGATGTCACAGTGCCCTACAGCTGGGAAGAGAAATAAGCTCTTTTGATTGTAAATGCTAGGCTCTCTGATAAAAGCAGCCTTTATGATTCCACATCTTTATTATTGTGTTCCCCATATGACTCAGTACATACTAGATGAACTCAATAAATAAGTATTGGTTATGTTTTCCAGAACACAGCTACATACGTTTCTTTATGAAACAATATTTACAATTAAAAACTATGTGGAAAACAAAATAAACCATTATGAAACAACCCATTTTGAAAATCTCCCAAACATGAGAAAATGACATTTTTAAAATCACATCAACGACATTTTGTTAAGGCACTCTCATAGAATTGTCTTTTCATCTGCAGTCACATAAAATTGTTTTATTAATGGTAGCAATAGGAACTATCAGTCTGTAAATTGCAGTTAATTTTAAAGAACTCAACAAAATCAAACTTAAGCACAAAAAATTTAGCATCCTTTCATTAGTGATTAAGATCATAAAGCCCATTAATGTGAAATTTTCTTAATTTTTGCCACTTAACGTAGTATTTGCTTCTGCAACAGAGGATAGTATTCCTTCTAAAATGCAGAAATGCAGGCATATTTCCAACGGAAGCTTTCTAAATAATCTAACGGGCTTTGTACATTAGGCATATTGTGAATTGACTATGCTGAATCTAAATATAACATGGACTTGAAAAACCCTGACAATCACCAAGGAAGATTTACTGCGCTGAGCTGTTTACAAGATGCTTTTGATGGTGACATATAGAGCAACATGTGTTGCGTAAATAACATCTATCCCTTTTTTAACAATATTTCCCTTTAGAACTAGTTAGAAAATATTTCTTACTCCCAGATGACCTACATTATATATTGTTTATTAGCATACTTCTAGCACTATTCCTGATATGTGACCTTGTTGAAAAACAAAGAAACATAAACTTAATGGCTAGTCTTTTCTCTTGTTAGCACAGTAAAACATACAATATGTCGAAAACTGTCTCCAAAAATGATGACTGATGAATATGTTGGCAGAATATACTAGGGCTTTTTTTCAGTGGTCTAATAATAAAGAATAAAATCACTTGACAAGACAAAATAATAAAATGTCTTCTTAAAGGCACTTACTACTACCTTCAAAATGAACTGACACATCTGAAGATCTAAGTATATAAGTTTTCTTTTACCATTGAAAGAAAATGCTTTTGTCATTACTGATAATTCAAATACTAATTCTACACTTAAGACAATGTCTAAACGTTACTTTCTACTCTTATTAACAACGTCATATTCTTATCTATAAGCTCCTAAATTTGGGGCTAGATGAAATAAGAGTTTAACGTGATCAAAAAATGTGCCATGATCTTAAAGTGCAGTAACTTGGACTTCACCTCACCACATATGTCACATTTCCCAAATACAAAGCAAGGATATGCAAATGAGAGGTGTTAAGGTTTGCTTTTTAAAGCCATGGTATAAAATTCATTTTTATCTTCAAGTTTTTAAAAAAGTAATTTTAAATGACCTTTGAAGCATCCCGTATTATCATTATAGACTCCTAGCAAAATATTTGAGACCCCTGCCAACCTGTACACCATGTTTAAGTAAAGTGATTATAACCTGTGAACAGTGTTGTCCTTGGGGATCTCAGTCCCTTGGAGGTAAATGCATTCCAGCTCTGTACAGCCGAGTTTATGAAGGAATTCTTCCTAATTCTAGGCCCAAGTCTGCTTTTTTTCACCCATTGGTCCTAACTCTATGCTCTGGAACTATAAAGAACAGGTTGAATTCCTTGTTTAATGTGACAACTACATTAACCCCTTTTCAGACTGCAAATAGAGGGAGGGTATAAAAAATGCTTTGGGCAACTTTTACCATCCTGGTTACTTTCAACCAGGTCAATCTTTTCGCAAATAGACTCCCAAATTCAGCGCAATTCTCCAAGGGTGTCCTGACCCTTGCAGAGCATAGGAGCACCTTCACCTCCCTTAGGACCATCACTTCCATTTATATAGAAGACAACAAAAAAAAGTCAAGTGAGATCATTTCTTTTAAAAGCAGATTAAAGTAGAAACAGAACTGCCATTGTTTGGGCCCCAGGTTGGCCTTTCTCAACACTTAAAGTTGTCAATTTACTTGAAATGCTAATTTAGTACAATTTTTAAAAGAGACTTTTTTTCATTAGCCTTTTTTAATGTGCTACTTGGGAGTGGGGTTGTCATTTCCTGATTGTTCTCTTTTGTTTTCTGATACTGATAGATGTAATTATCAAGGATACAACTTTTTCCCAGCACCTCATTATTTTTGATTGATTTTGAGAACAATTTAAATGTGCCTTTTTGACATTCTTGTTTTCAGTTAGACTCTGGTTAAGGTACTCAAAGACTTTCAGCAAAGAGCATCTCATAAATTAAAAAAAACTATTAGAATCTTTAATAATGTATACTTAAAAAAAAAAAACATTATTCTGATGAACTCCACACCCTCCTCTCAATCTGTACTCCATTAGGATTTAGGCTTCACATTTAGCCTCACCAAATTAAAAAAAAAAAAAAAATTATACTTTGTAGTTATAAATTGCTTTGATTTTTTTTAAAGAAAACACTGAGGATAAAAAAAAAAATCAATGAGTCCATAGTAATCATCAAAAACAGAAAAAGAAAAAATCTCAGTTGCCACCATTGGACGGGACTATTACATGTATCTCTTGTTCTGAAAATTGGTAATTAAACGCACAGAAGCATCATGCTTCTTTAGGAGGAAGTGTAGTTCAGGCCTATTTGATGAGGGAAAGCTCTTCTTCTTTGAAGGCTGACAGAAGAGATGACAGAATTAGAAATTCACCATTTTGCCATGCCAAATAAAATTGTCCAAAATAATCATTAATGGATGCTAAAACTATTAAGAGAATGTTATTCTGAGATACTCAATTTTCTACCTTTAATAACTACAAAGAGAAAGACACATCTTTACAGTGGATTCGTCTAGTGGTAGTCACTGTAACCAGACTAGTTAGCTTCATATTACTCCTAATAATGGAGCAACCTGACATTAGGTGTCTCAGTGTGACGCAATATGAAGGATAATACATCACAATAAAGCATTCTTATCTAAAATGTAGACCTGAATCTAACCAAGCCCTTAGATGAACAGTCCTGTTTTCAGGAAATATAGGGATGGAGAAACAGGTATCACTTTGAGACAAAAAAAAAAGCACACAAATCTAGAATATTTTTCAACACAAACCAAGAATATTTTTGGCCTGTTATCCTCAAAAAGTCAATGTCACAGGGGAAAAAAATAGTGGAGAGACTGCTCTCAGATGAGAGACTAAAAAGACAACTAATGAATGTAGTATGTGTGTAAATGTAATGTGTGAATTCTGATTTGGCAAGAAAAAAGCTATAAAATGGTTTTTGAGGAAACTGAAGAAATCAGAATATCAGCAGGTTATTAGATGATATTGAGAAATTATTACTGTTAATTTTCTTTGATGTGATCATGGTACTGTGGTTATGTGGGCAAACATCCTTTTTACTGAGAAATACATACTGAATGTTTAGGGTGAAATGGTATGACGTTTGCAATTTATTTTCAAAATATCTAAGAAAATATACATATGCATATATAGTTACATATATATAAAGCAAATATGCCTAAATGTTAACAATTATGAAATTTAGGTACATGCTTGAACATTTTCATAACAAAAAGTGGGAATAAATGGATAGGATAATCATAATATGTAGTTTTTTAACATTAAACCTAACCTGATTAACCCCATCCCCTCTGCTCATTTTATACCCGACACTTAGCATACATGAAAAATAATTTGTGCTTGGTTGTTATAAGCAGTTTTGCAAACATTTTTGGGGTTTTTTTGATGATTTTTTCTGTTTGTTTATATTTTACAAATCTATTGTATAAACTCTAAGAGTCAGGAATCATAGCTTACATTCATTTCTATAATAAAGTAACAATTTCTTACAATTGTATCATGCTTTACAGTCTGTAAAGAACTTGTATGCATAAAACTCATTGCAACAAAACTATGAGAGTTGATAAAGGAGGAATTATTATCCTCATTTACAGATTAAGTGACTTGTCACAAGTCATTCAGATTGTGAATACCATAACCAAGGCTAGTATTCTACTCCGCCTACCACCCACTGGGTTTTAACACAGTTTACACTAAGACCATTTGCAAGTAACTTTACAGTTGCATTTTAGGTGCATTTTGAAAGCAGCCTTGCCTTAGAGTTGTGTAGCACTTTGTTCTTTGACAATGCCAGGGATGGTATAAGAACAGCTTACGACAGCAAAGGAA